ATATATTATTAAAATTAATTTCACATTTCTTTTTACTTATTTTAATGTGGCTACTAGAAAATTTAAAATTATATATGTAACTCATATTTTTATTGGACAGCACCGGAATACACACTCCAAAAGAATTTCCAATTGACTAAAGGATCCTTTCCCCAGTTTCTATACTATCGCAGTTTGCTTTTAAACTTTTTATCTAAAGCTAAAAATTCAGGGTAGAACAGGCCATCACAGAAGCTAATAAAGAAAAATCTCACTTCAAGTATATCAGACATACCTCTTTTTCCTTTGATTTTAATGCCATGGTTAAACCCTGAATGGCTTTATCCCTCTTTAAACTATTTTTCTTCTCTGCAGCAATTTCTCTTTCCTTCTCTCTTAGGTCCTCCTGAAGTGCCTAAATTAGATTAGAAAAAGATTCACTAAGTTGATGCGTTCCAACCAAAAAGCACTGTAAATATATCTTTAAGAGCACACTCAAATGCAGTTATTCTATCTTATTCCTGTCAACCTGTGATTAATGTTTCCAAGTCGAGCTGAACACAGTGGCATCAGCTCCAAGTTACTGTGTTACCGCTCACGGCAACAGGGCTGGGGGATGGGAAGGGGATCAGATCAGTTAAGATGATGACAGCTATTCCTACGGGAAGGACTCCAATGCCTTCTGGAATTTGAATACAGTCACATTAGAGTCTTTGAAACCATACCAGGTTATTTGGGGGAAATAACAGATCATTAATTTCATTCCTTAATGTTACAAAAACTAGCAGAGAATTTGGTTTGATGGAGACTGAACTATACATTTATAGTCTGAGTTCGCTTCTAAAGATAATCACTGCTGCCTCCTTCCCGGGCTGTTGTGAGGATCAAATGAGATAATGGATATGAAAGTGCTTTCTAAGCTGGCAGGCACTACACAAATGCCAGCTGTAGTGACTGGGGGACCATGGAGCATGGGCATGTCTGAATCCTTGCTATAACCTCTTCCTAGCTATGTGATCTTGGGCAAGGGAACTCACCTCTCTGAGCACCAGGTATATCTGCAAAATGGGAATGCTTACTTCACAGAAGTATTGCAAAGAATGAGAAACCCTCTCTAAGGCGCCTTAAGTTTGACTGGTACACAGTATCACCCAATAAATGACAGCTATTGTCACACAGAATTCTCTTTTGCACTCAGAATAAAACAATAGGCAAGAACAGGATAAATCTTCAATAAATTTTTTTAAAATTGTACCAACATACCTGGATCCTCTCTTCAAAGTGATTTCTCTCCTG